CTTTTTGTCTTCTGTTTGAAGAGGAAAATTTCAACCCCAACTCTCTTCATTTTTGAGCCGGCTCTAGGTGTGACACCTGTTGAAAGTTTTTTATGTAGAAGAAGGGACAAAATATATGGGACCCACATAAAGTATTGATAAGTTGTGTCAGTCATACCCATAAATATCTTTCGTTCTCTTGCATCAAGATTTTTCGGGTCTTTCCTTTGCCCACCTTTCGTTTCTAAAGATATTTTTATGGGAAAATGACACTAAAATACCACTTAAATTCTAAAAAGACAAATAAGGGACCTGAATAAGCAAAATGATAAAGAAGGCATCAGGTACCAATCTGGAATTTTGATTTTTGGCCTAAAGACTGAATTGCCCTTATTGTGTTTGCCTCCTCCCAGCGAAAGCAATTCCCCCCACTCGGCGAAAGAGAAACTGCCCCCACTTGGCGAAACCAATCCATCTACTCGGTGAAACTAATCCCTCCCCTCAGTGAAATCGAATCCCTCTACCCGATGAAACCAATCCCTCCACTCCACGAAACCGAACCCCCTCCAGTTGACGAAACTAAATCCTTCGCATCACCATTCTGTAGAGATTGTTGATTTGGTGGGTTTTGGTTGTGGGAAAGAGGATTTGTAGTGAGAGAGGGAGTGAACTTGTGGGAAAGACGAAGCGGAAATCAGAAAACAATGGCAAGCAATTACGTAACGTAACTGTTGTCATATGCCTGCTGGTTTTTGGTAAATCCCATTACGTGAATAGTAAATTTCACTATACATGTAGTTAATTATGAATTTTACAAAACACACAGTGATATTTACAACTTTTATAGTGAAAATGACCACTTCTTAAATGAGTTTTGCAACCTCTTTTCAAGGGATTGACAACTTGTTTCTAAAAACCAATAAAATTTCATGCTGAATTTTACAAAACACACAGTGATATTTACAACTTTTGTAGTGAAAATTACCACTTCTTAAATGAGTTTTGCAACCTCTTTTCAGGGGATTGACAACTTGTTTCTAAAAACCAATAAAATTCCATGCTGAATTTTACAAAACACACAGTGATATTTATAACTTTTGTAGTGAAAATTACCACTTCTTAAATGAGTTTTGCAACCTCTTTTCAAGGGATTGACAACTTGTTTCTAAAAACCAATAAAATTCCATGCTGAATTTTACAAAACACACAGTGATATTTACAATTTTTGTAGTGAAAATTACCACTGCTTAAATGAGTTTTGCAACCTCTTTTCAAGGGATTGACAACTTGTTTTTAAAAACCAATAAAATTCCATGCTGAATTTTACAAAACACACAGTGATATTTACAACTTTTGTAATGAAAATTACCACTTCTTAAATGAGTTTTGCAACCTCTTTTCAAGAAATTGGTAACTTGTTTCTAAAAACCAATAAAATTCCATGCTAAATTTTACAAAACACACAGTGATATTTACAACTTTTGTAGTGAAAATTACCACTTCTTAAATGAGTTTTGCAACCTCTTTTCAGGGGATGAGCAACTTGTTTCTAAAAATCAATAAAATTAGACGCTGAATTTTACAAAACACACAGTGATATTTACAACTTTTATAGTGAAAATGACCACTTCTTAAATGAGTTTTGCAACCTCTTTTCAGGGGATTGACAACTTGTTTCTAAAAACCAATAAAATTCCATGCTGAATTTTACAAAACACACAGTGATATTTACAACTTTTGTAGTGAAAATTACCACTTCTTAAATGAGTTTTGCAACCTCTTTTCAGGGGATTGACAACTTGTTTCTAAAAACCAATAAAATTCCATGCTGAATTTTACAAAACACACAGTGATATTTACAACTTTTGTAGTGAAAATTATCACTTCTTAAATGAGTTTTGCAACCTCTTTTCAGGGGATGAGCAACTTGTTTATAAAAATCAATAAAATTTGACGCTGAATTTTACAAAACACACAGTGATATTTACAACTTTTGTAGTGAAAATGACCACTTCTTAAATGAGTTTTGCAACCTCTTTTCAAGGGATTGACAACTTGTTTCTAAAAACCAATAAAATTCCATGCTGAATTTTACAAAACATAGAGTGATATTTACAACTTTTGTAGTGAAAATTACCACTTCTTAAATGAGTTTTGCAACCTCTTTTTTGGGGATTGACAACTTGTTTCTAAAAACCAATAAAATTCCATGCTGAATTTTACAAAACACACAGTGATATTTACAACTTTTGTAGTGAAAATTACCACTTCTTAAATGAGTTTTGCAACCTCTTTTCAGGGGATGAGCAACTTGTTTCTAAAAATCAATAAAATTTGACGCTGAATTTTACAAACACACAGTGATATTTACAACTTTTGTAGTGAAAATGACCACTTCTTAAATGAGTTTTGCAACCTCTTTTCAAGGGATTGACAACTTGTTTCTAAAAACCAATAAAATTCCATGCTGAATTTTACAAAACACACAGTGATATTTACAACTTTTGTAGTGAAATTACCACTTCTTAAATGAGTTTTGCAACCTCTTTTCAATGGATTGACAACTTGTTTCTAAAAACTAATAAAATTCCATGCTAAATTTTACAAAACACACAGTGATATTTACAACTTTTGTAGTGAAAATTACCACTTCTTAAATGAGTTTTGTAACCTCTTTTCAGGGGATGAGCAACTTGTTTCTAAAAATCAATAAAATTAGACGCTGAATTTTACAAAACACACAGTGATATTTACAACTTTTGTAGTGAAAATTACCACTTCTTAAATGAGTTTTGCAACCTCTTTTCAGGGGATGAGCAACTTGTTTCTAAAAATCAATAAAATTTGACGCTGAATTTTACAAAACACACAGTGATATTTACAACTTTTATAGTGAAAATGACCACTTCTTAAATGACTTTTGCAACCTCTTTTCAAGGGATTGACAACTTGTTTCTAAAAACTAATAAAATTCCATGCTGAATTTTACAAAACATAGAGTGATATTTACAACTTTTGTAGTGAAAATTACCACTTCTTAAATGAGTTTTGCAACCTCTTTTCAGGGGATGAGCAACTTGTTTCTAAAAATCAATAAAATTTGACGCTGAATTTTACAAAACACACAGTGATATTTACAACTTTTATAGTGAAAATGACCACTTCTTAAATGACTTTTGCAACCAATTAATTCAACGTGACTACAAAAGTTGTCACTTTTATTAGTTTTTACAAACAAGTTGTTTATCTCCTGAAAACAGGTTGCAAAACCCATTAACAAAGTAGTCACTTTCACTACAAAAGTTGTAAATCACAATATGTATTTTGTAAAATTCATAATTAACTACATGTATAGTGAAATTTACCATTCACATAATGGGATTTACCAAAAACCAGCAGGCATATGACAGCAGTTACGTTACGTAATTGCTTGCCAGTTTTCTGATTTCCGCTTCATCTTTCCGCTTCGGTTCACTCCCTCTCTCACTACAAATCCTCTTTCCCACAACCAAAATCAACAATCTCTACAGAATGGTGATGCGAAGGAGTAAGATAATAGCATTTCCAACATTCTTCTTTCCTTCTTCCCGCATTTCATCAGTGTCGGTCTTCCTCTCTCCTTTCTCTCACTTTCAGCTTTCGGTCTTCCCGCATTTCATCAGGGCATTTGGGTCTTTTGGCCGAAAATATGAATTCCAGATTGGTACCCAGTGCCCTATTTGTCATTTTACTTATTCAGGTCCCTTATCTGTCTTTTTGGAATTCAAGTGGTATTTTATTGTCATTTTCCCTATTTTTATCCTTAAAATATGTCATGAAGAGCGATTGATCTCTTTTAAGTACAAAAATAAGCCATGTCCTTGAATGTGCCCTAACCCACTCTTAACATATTTTGAAAGTTAGGTTGAATCTCTTTCTTTCATACGGACTCTTCTTTACCATAGTGGTGAGTTGTGAAATTTTATAATCATAATTCGTTTTCTATTTAACCATGATATTCTTCGAACACAGAGTTTTCTTTTCCTTTTTTTTTCTTTTTTAACAGTTTAAAGTCTTTATTACTCGGGAGAAGGGAGGAGTTGGATGCGAATGGAGAGAGGTATTAAGATTTTTTTTGGGTGGAGTGCAGTGTATTGAACCTATCCAATCAGTCAACAAGTTAATTGAAGACATGAGCAAGACGTGCTAAAAAATTGAAACCTACTCCATGCTGGGGCCACCAATGACGTGAAGGCTTGAAATTTGTATGTCAAATAATGGCCAAGCAATAACCTGCGAGACGAGTTAGTACAAAGATATTTTGGTTCTGTGCGGGAAAGTTTCCAAACTCAATGCATAGTTGCTTTGATGAAGGAAATGAGGAAGACTAGAGTAACATGACAGCAATTTGAAAGATAGCTTATGTGCTGAGAGATAGTTTTTGAAGAGCTCTTTGTTTACGGGAAGTGCTCAACAAATAAAACAACGTAGAATTTCATAAACTCATCAAATAATAGGCAAGATTTCCTTGCATGGATAAAGCCAGGAGAAATCACCATTTTAGTCGCAAGTTGACATTAAACCTCGTAATGTTTTCCAAGATCAAGACTTTCTTCCAAAAATGCGTGATTTTGGATCTGTCTAACCGTGTGTTAAGAATCAAAGCATAGGGCCAATGGCCTATTATGACAAATAATTCCTGCACTCATATAAGCAACTCTCCTCCACGTAGAAATATATTGAGCACTGTCATTTTTGACAAATTTACATGTGGTCAATTAAATTCTGCAATACGGAGAGAAAACAATTAGAAGTTAAACAGTATCCTTTTAGTAACTCTGTGAGGTGACATTGCAATATTTTCAAATCAATTGTCACTGGCGAACGTTGTTCTCATGGCCTAAGTTCTAATGCTTTAAGCTGGTATCCAGGTTCCAAGTTCATTTGCCGGAATCTTTTTTTTTCCCCCCCAAAAAAAAAAAGTCAATTCTCACTTGAGAAAAAAGTCTTGTTCCAATGGGTTTCCTCAAGCAGGATGGCATTCAAGTCTGGAGTTAGTTCTGCAAAACCTTATCTGGTAGAAAAAATTCAAATACAAATCCAAGGAGGGGTAATCCTATTTCGGCTTACAGCAGCACAGGATAGACAAATTTTACTTTTGCAACAACGCAGGAATCAATCAGCAAAGTTTATGCTTAACTCACTGTGAACAAACTGGGGAAATGCCTCCTCCTTCGATATTTTGAATTCCTAGTCTGACTATGAGGAAGATTTTATCCACAGACATGAAGTGTGGTTCCAGTCCCAATCTATGCTTCCTAACTATCATGTTTTGCTGGCGTCAATGGTTTAAGCACTCGGGTGGATAAAACCAATGCCGGTTTGACCAGAACGAGTAAGCACTTCAAACTCTCCAGCAGTAAAAGATTGATCTTCCTTGAAAATGGGTCGTTTAAGCTCTACATATGCGCAATAGTCTACTTCATATACTATGGCATTCTTTAAGAGAGCAGCAAGAGCCACTCCAATTCCTTCCCCTGCAAAGAGCACAAATAATTTACAATTCAAATTGGAACTCTTGCCAAAAAAAAGGAAGTTCATCTAGATGACTGATTTGCAAGTTCCAACTCGCTCCCCCCCCCCCCCCCAAAAAAAAACAGTTACGATCTATCCCTAGTTAACTTGGTCAGTAATCAGTTTACCTCCTAGCAGCAGAAGTGTATTTAGGCCCCTATGTTATATTTAAACACCCTTTGGTATTCAGCTCTAACAGATATAATCGTGTGCATGACCAAGTGAAGAACAGTTAGATTGTCAAAAGGATATTCACTTATACATTGAATAGTTTCAGTCTTCTGAAGCCGTGTAGGTGATATTTGGAAACACAGTATGAGCGTAGTCCTAGTTTTAGTCCCACAACATTATAAATTGTTTGCAATAGACTTCTAACGCTCAAACTATTAATTCCTATTTAAGAATCACAAGAGTAATTTCCTCAAAACCTCGGTGTAATTAAATAATAACATAGATTAGAAGAGGGTTCAGTGGCACACAAATTTAAAGCATAAGTGGCAAACCAGTTTAGTGCCAAATTAAATGGGAGAGCAAACGATAATCCACCCTTTTTGTTTTATTAAAATCTTCATTCCCATTGTAAATTCTGTCATGCAAGGGGAAAGGTAAGAAGAAATTTGTTCATCATCAAAAGGTGCCTTTGCCATAAGTTGAACATAAAAGAAATTAGAACCTTACCATGTGTGACAAGCAGCAAGTTCTCGGTATGATAATTATCTGCAAGGTCATTAATCACTTGCTCATATCTAGCTCTTGTACCCAAAACTGGCTCTTCCCATTTGGGCAACAGGTGTTTATCAGGCAAAAATTCCATCAATCGCAATTAAAATCTGTAATTGCATAAACAAGTAGCAGCCAAAAAATTCTGAGTTGAAAAATATCTAGTCCTCAAGCCGTACCTCTTTATACATCCTTTTTGCATTCTTATCCACTGTTCCAGCTGGGAGAATTGCTTCACGCTCTGCGATATCAAAACCCCAATTACCATCCTTAGGAGCCAGTGCAGGACTGATCGCTTCTCTGCTCATCATCTCACATAATCCAAGTTCAACAGAGACCCAAAGTTGGTCAAGACCAATAAGAGAGATAACTTTAGCACCTTATTGTTACCAGAAATTATTACTCGCATCATAAGTATATAAAATAAACACACTCTCAATTCTACATATTAATCAAACCCATGTTCTATGACGTATCCAAGCACGAATTTAACCAAGAAGCCAAGTCTGAAATGTTACCTGACTATGTACAAGTATTTCGCGCGCGCGCGCACACACACATATATAAATTATATTAATTTATTAGAATGCAACAACCAATCAGAGGTAAATCTGCGTGTGAGCACTATTCTAATCAGCATCTGGAGTTTCTTCATCTAATTAATCATCTAGCAGTGACTGCAAGAACCATGCTGGAAAACCAGTGGCCAGGCAGTTCAGGGCATTATGGTGAACTGAAATTTACACTCGTGTTGTAGGTAGAAGAAACAGAAATCTCTGTAGTGCCATACATGGCACTAGGCTCACTTCATCATAAATTCATCACTCAGTGAACATTCTCTTTAAAGAGCATCGTTTATGAAGAAAAAGTGAGCTAGAAGTCAAGGATGTCATCCTTGCTCAACCCACAACGTGGAGGGAAAAGGCTAAAGGTTCATTGAACCTCTTTCCCGAACTAGTAGTAAATATATAATTGCAGTGCCATTTTCAGATTAAAAACTCATAAATCAGAATATAGCATAGCTTAAGTCCCAACAGATAATTTGTAAATTACTTTTAGCACATGCGAGACAAAAGGAAAACTGTCAACAACAAAGGACTAAGAACTACCATGATAATACCCGTAAGCCAACAAACCCGCAGTACATCTACTGTAGTTTAAGTTCATTATATTTTAGACGTGTTTGCTCTCAAATTTCAGAAAACTAAGACTAATTCTGAAACTTCTTTTGTTAAATAAATTCGGCTTATCTTATAACCCTAGAGTTAGATTTTAAGCATAGTAAAATCCTCAGAACTCTGTTCTACCAAAAGCCATTACCTTTTTGTTACTGCTGCTTCTGGAAACATGGTCAGAAATGCTTCTAGTTGTAAATCCTATTTCAATATTCAGAGAGAAGATTCCTCAACAAAATTACAACAAAAGGACCAATGGAGATATCTGTTTATTGCAACACCTAATGGCAATGGAAACATGTTATTTTTTTGCAGCACTTTTTAAGATTAGCAAAGAAGTATTAACACTGACATAAGTCATTGAACAGAATATAAACAACACTACGTAACAAGACATCAAGCAAGTATTTTAGCTTTTCTTTATTTAATGAGTCAATTAACTTTAAGGAAGAATTCACCTAGCTAGCCAATAGTTAAAAAGATCTATTCTAATATGAACGCATATTAAATGCCTTTCCTGAAACTTTAAGGTTATGTTTCGTGTCTTCGAAAGAATTTTAAGGGAATGGAATGAAAAGGAGTATAAAAAGATAGGGTCCGGTATGCATGAAAAAGGGAGGTGAACATTTATTTTAATGATGTTTGGTATAATAAAAACGGAAGAGGATTGGAAATAAACAAACGGAAAAAGACAGAAATGTTTTTCAATTGGGAACCATAGAAGAATGACAGAATCAATGGTGGAAATGTACATAGCAATAGGGTTCAAAACCATGAATATTTAGAACAGTGTTTGATCTGCCAAAAGTGATAAGCCTTTTTGTTTTGTGATTAGACCATCCGATAAATAAAACCCACCTGAAACTGCACAACGAGCCGAAAATGTCATTGTGGCTATGAGTATGGCCACAAGCATGAGTGTGTTGGTTGCTTCCTTCACATTCCATTCTTTATTGGTGGATGTTATGCTTTGTTTGGCTAGCATATTTGCCTTTAGGGGCACGCCAGCATTATCTAAAGTTATGTCTGCTAGAGCTAGTATTACCTCTATCGGTTCTTAATATAAGAGTTAGTTGATGGTTAGATTTAATACTAAATATAAAACTTTAATCCACTTTGTCCCCTAACTTTTTTCAAAACATTTCTAATGATTATAAGAAATTCCCGCCAAGGATAATTACAATCATCCAATATACATGATTGATTAGGATAGTTTAAAGATAACAACACACATTTATGACAAGTAACCAGTTTAACTAATTTTCTTAATATTCCAATATAAAAGCTAGATAAATAATTTGGAGAATTTATAAAAATTAGTTAAATTAGTTATCTATCACAAATGTGTGTTGATCTCCTTAAGCTATCTTGTTTAATCCTGTGTATTGAGACCACCCTTTGGTGCTAATCCCCTACAATCAATAGGGATATTTTGGCAGGAAAATAAATAATAAGGAGAATTGAGGTCTTGTATTTAAGACAAAGAAACTTTTGGATTAAAACTTTTTAGAAAGTTGTAAAAGAAGACATAGATACTTATAAATCATACCTCTTGTCATGTCATTGCAATCCTACGTTGCATTCGAACAACATCTCAAGCTGTTAAATCTTGGTTATTGACTAGGTTGACATTGATCATTTTGTTTTGTGATAGAAGGAGTAGAGTCCAAAGACACAATTCTCCTGAAGCCAAATGTAAGGAAGTATCTCCATTTAAATTTACATCTCTCTCATTCACAGTATCATGACGAATCTTGGGGTGCTTCAATAGATATTTTATCCCATCAATTTATCCCTTCATTGCTGCAATGTGAAGACTGTTCAGACCTTTATTATTGGACCAACGTCCAGCATTAGGCCACTCTATTTCAAGCAAGTTTTTGACCACTTTAACACTTCCCTTTTTGCAAGCGGGATGAATTGGAAGATTGCCATCTGAGTTTTGTTGAAAAGAAATCATGGCAGAAGTTTCTAACATTATACAAACCCCTTCCATGTAACTAAAGTATGTTGCATAATGAAGAGGAGTATTATTGTTCTTCTCATCTCTTTGATACAATAACTCTTCCTTTATATCAACGATCATCTTCAATAGGTCTTCACACCAAAAAAAAGGAAAGGAAAAAACAAACATATATTAGGCAAAAAGTAAAACAAATACAAAATTAATTACCACATCAATCTTTAGTATAACAGTCAGTTGGCTAATTTAAAAAAATTTAGAATGCTAAAAAATTACTTAATTATATTATACATTACATGTCCACTTTAAAATACCTATATATATTATTAGATTATATATCAATTTATAAGTTGGGCCAATTAGTTTAGAGAACAACGATGAATATAATACTCTTCTAGTCTTTAATGTAGGATCAAATTGACGAGTTGATATTGATTCCATACGTAAGATCTATTTCACATATTTATCAATTTTATTCAAATTAATCCTATTGATATTCCCCTAACGATAATTAAGTAGGAGAGAGAGGAGTGAATTAAGGAAAGATGCTTTAGATGTTTAAAAAACAAATATATATCACATTAACTAATTTAACTAACATCCTTAATCTACTCAAATTAATGAATTAGGTCTTACATAAAGGATTGGAGGAGTACTTTAAAGCAATTTATTTAAGCTTCATAATCTCCTCAAATTAGTCAACTAGTTCTTATATTAAGGAGAGTATATAATATTTCAGGAGTACGCTTACTTTTATTTCATTCTGATATTGGGGGAGTCGCCATCTGAAACAGCCTTACCTGAGGGGATTGGAATTTGACTCAAGAGAAGATGAACAATATTCTTAGCCCTTGTTAGGACTGCTAAATACATTGGCGATTTACAACCATAATGATACTTCTAAGTCCAATAAGAGGCCAGACCACTTTGCTTATGTTCAGCTAAAAAGGAATGAACCACAGAATAATCCTTTCTCAAAACAGCTCCGTGCAAAGCTGTCCTCCCATAATTGCTGCATCACATTAATTATAAGCTCCACTTTGTCCATAGGTTCAGCCTCCTCTTCAGATGTCTTGAAGTGCTTATCCAAGTCCAGAATTTTCCTAACCGCGACAAGATTCTTAGCTCTTGCAGCAACATGAAGCGGAGAATCGCCATTGATATTTGTCTGTTACAAAAGCTTAGGATAGTGAAAAGCAATAAGCCATACAACTTGTTCACTCCCATGTTGGGCTGCAACATGAAGCAACGAATCACCTGTGGGAGTGACAAGATTGAAAATGGCGGCCAAGTCAACCTTAATTTTTGCACATACTTGTTCCAGTACGTAAACAAATCTATCTGCATCTGCATTTTCATCAGAAGCCACCTCGTACAACTCATTACATAATGTGCACCATGTTGTCACAAAATGGCATATCGTCTGCCAGTTCACGCATCTTTTCGTTGCCACGAAATCGTGCATCATCAACTGATGAGCTGGACTTCATTTTCATATGCTTTTGGAACTCCTTTTCCATCCCCTCACTTGTCATATGTTCCTCTAGCTCCTCCAAAATACGTGTAGACTTCTTCTTGGGCTTCATCTCGTCATCATGAAAAATTAATATATCAGTACAACCCAAATCAGCCATTAATGCAACTAGCTAGCAGCGTCAATTATCAAATGCAATTCAGAACGATAACTCGTAATTGATTTTCTGGTTCAACTTAGTTTCAGCATTAGGTAAACCTTTATGCTATATATGCATTAAACAGTTCTAGTCAGTGTTAACTATCTAGATAAGACAAATGATGGTTTGTTAGATGGTAAGCTTAGAGATTAGAATAGTGTGGTCAATATGAATTTATTTAGTTATCTTATGAAGTCGCGTTTTGAATACAATGTTCTGTCATTTGCACTAAGAAAATGATTTTTTGAGCCATTCATATCCTTGAATTGTTTATCATCAATGAACCGAATATTCAATATTATTGTTTTTGTACTGAAGATCTACAAATGAAAGCATTCAATTAACAGCAAAAATAAAGAAGTTATTTCTTTGTGTGTTGCAGTTTGGGTGCATCATTCTCGCTATATATTTATCTGCATTGATCAGCTTTCCTTTATTTAGGCATTTAGTCATCGTTACAATTCCTATTTCCCCTTCTATTCACACTTGTTTTTACGAATAGACAGTAATAAAAATACCCTTTTCGACTTCTTTTTTTTCATGTTCGTTCTTTGCAGAACCGTCAAAAACATTAAGTCTTCTAAATAAATTTGGTTAAATTTTTCATGGCAGATTATATCTGAGGGGAGAAAGGAGGAAGAAAATTTTAATGAATTCGATTTAAAAAATTAAAAAAGTAGATTTAAGAATTTTAATTTTTTTTTTACTGTTTTATCTCACATATTTTCTTTACCAAAATTTATAACCCCATTTCTCCAATTTTTCAAATCAAACTCATTAAAAAAATTTTCCCTCCTCTCAATTTTCCTCATATCAAACATGGGGTTAGAATTATGATTTCCATGTCAATTATATATATTCCTTGTGAAGTTGATGTGAAAATCACACAGGTTATAAGAAAATATTGAATTTTTTTAGGAAATAAAAAATGAAATTTTCATCACTTGATCTTGGGAATTGAAATGAAAATGAAAATTATTTATGTTATCATGATTTGGTCATTAAACAATAAACACACTTACTTTCCCAATCTAATCAATATGATACTTTTCATCGACGACTACATGCTATCAGTCTTTCCTTTATTCTTAGTTTCACGTCAATACGAACATGGAAGACCAACCCATTCATAATTTAAACAAAATTGTCACAAATAATTTATAATACTAACCATCAATAAAATATTATAACACGTATTAGAGCTCGTTACTTTGAAAGCTTAACTAAACAATTTTTTTTTTTTTTATGTCTAGATTATTCATCCAATAGTTTTAAAATCAATATATATTCTACGTCATACGAGAGAAGACACATCATATATTAGGAAATTATTAGCTACAGCTGGCGGCCACACTACGTTGGTTTAAAACTCAACCAACAAATCCTCATACATTAAAAGGGTTGGACATGCTCATTGAGAGAGCAGGTTTACTCTGAGCATGTCACGATTGGGGGAAGCATTTCACAAACCAAGACTTCAACTTGTAATAACAGGGTCATTCTAGTTTAAACTACAACACTGGTAGGGTTGGGGTCAATAATTAGCTGTCTTGCTCAGTGAGCCCTTTTCTTAAAATGTCATTTGGTCCTAATCCAATTTCCCAATTTTCTTTGGCTGAACCAAACTTAGAAATGGAAAGCATCATCCTAATATTCTCTAATTTGAATAAATATTCTCAGAAAGCAGTTTAATCCACTTGTGTTATTTCTGCCGTTTGACTAAAGAAGATGAAATGTATAGGCAATCCACTATTTTAAGTTTTGTAAGTATCTCCGAAGCTTAAAGCACAGCTTCTTCCTCAAATGTGAGCCAATGAACAGAATTTCTGGATTAATCAGATGTAGAATACATGGGATTTTTTACTGTGTACAGTTAGTGCTCTTCTTAGCCTTTGTTCTTGTCATTAATCTCATCACCGCAACATGTAATGTCAGTAGGATTGTAACAGAATTGTTGTGGCTGGAACTCGTATGGATTTTTGGTTTGTGTGCAAGAGTTAAAGGCCGATCATTTATTGATAGTGAAACCTTTCGTTTGATCGGTAAGGAGCGTGCACTTGTCATCTGCAATCATGGCTCACCATTCTGGTTGCCTTGGAATCACTTTAGCTGTGATGGGAGGGAAAAAAAGGGAAAAATGCTGCGATGGTCTCGTTCACCAATTATGGGTCTTCTACTCGTTGGGTTTTGGCATCAAGTGCGACGGTGGAATTGGGATTTGAAGGACAGCTGCAGCAAGTTTGGGTTTTAATGTCCATTATTTTTTTTTTCTCCTTCCAGTCTTAGCAACTTATGATTAAAAAAAAAATCGAAAGCCTTACCTCACATATATGTTTTAATTTCCACTTTTGTGTAGATCCTTGAGGACAAGGATCTTTTGTTGGGGGGAGTATATTGATATGTGGTAAATTGGTAAAAGTATTAGTAGGGCAATAAGGTAAATAGGAAATGGGCGGTGAACTAGTGGTCTATAAATAGGATGCTAGATATTGTGTTGAGTTTCGATTGAATACATATCTTTACTGTTTACTCTCTACTCTCTCTGTTTACCTCTAACACACCTAAGTTCATACTGTCGCAATTTTACTTGGTTTGACTGTGTCCAACAAAAATATTACCACTGCAACTGCAGAATTGGCCAGCTATCGATGGCAGTTGACAACAAGCGCTGGGTTGCACAATATAGAAGGCTGCCCTTAAGCCTCCAACAATTAACTGTCATGATAGATAACATGATTTTATATATATATATATATATATATATATATATATGATATCATGATGCATAACCAGAAAAGCGCAGAAGCCCGCCCTTTCATCTGTTTCGATATCTCATGGAATGAAATAAGAGGGTCTAATAGCATTCTTAGTTTTAAAGCACTTTGAACTTTTGAATTAGCCAGTGATTGTATTTTAAGCCATATGGTTTCCGAACCTCAGGTATGAACATCCTGAAAATGTGAATGGGTTCTTCCGATTACGGTGCACGCCCCTCCATCTAGGACTTCTGGGACAAGAAGTGAGAAACCTGTCTCTCTGAATCCCTAGTGGGTGCATAATTAAAGGCATAAACAAATGTTTGATTCAGTCTGAGCTGTGTACAATTGGTGCTGAAATTCAGGATTATAGGAGTACGATATTTTTATTTTCTGTTCTATTTCTAATTTGGCTTTTGTAGTTGGATGTCTGTTATGATTCCACTGGTACTTCATTTTGATTATGTTGTGAATCAACATGGATATGATGGTCCCGGCTCATTTATTTTGCTTTATACTTGGATCAAGGCTGAACAGGGTGGACATGAATAAAACAAATTAAACTAGGATTCCACCTAGAACTTTCTAAGTGTTCTCTCTTTTTTCTTTTAAATTAATTGTTTAATATAATTAAACACAGATGCATATACAAATATGTTAATGCCAAACTTGAATTTGGGATCTCATCCAAGTATGGGGAGTGGTGTTGTGACTAGGGCCGCTAACCTTTTAACCTTTTTACCGTGCTCTTGTCTATTATTACTAGTAACAAAATCTAGTTCGCTTTATTTGAACCTAGTTCAAGAAAAATTGAACCAAATATACAATAGTAACTATTTACCAAAAACGAATGTTAAAACAACAGTACTTTATTCTCCAACTCGGTGACAATGTTAAAACAAGATGTTTTTATTCATACACATAAAATTACTCTCAGATTACATGAACTAGTTGACATAATACACAAATCACACCCAAGAATCACATAATTTTAGATGAACATCATGACACTAAAAGCACGGGCAACGATGACAATTAACATTTGTAACTGGATCTTGGAAACTATTGGCTGCAACCTCATCATTGATATCGCTTTGCAAATGCTCGCTTCATCATTTGATTTGATTTTTGGCGTCATCTTGATCGACTTGGCTGACTTTGCTGACAAAATCGCCATACCAAGTATCATGGCATCCATAGCCTAAAACAAGAATGATCCTAGTAAACAAGCCTATGATTGGACGAAGCACGGGACGACGACTATCAAGTCGAAGCCATCCTAGACAACCAACAAATATCATTACGAAAATGGAGATGAATCCAATCACACTTATGGCGTGTGCAACTGTAGTGGTATTGCTCACCATCAAGTGTATAGCAGCCAGAAACGCAACGGGCATTGCTATAATGGCCACAAAAACAAATAACAGAGCATGCTTATATGCTCGTGTTGCAATACGATGATCTCCAATTGGGACCCACAGAAGAATGATAGAACCAATAATGGAGCTATACATAGCAATAGTGTTAAAAGCCATGAATATCTTGAATAGGGTTTGATCGGCCAAAAGTGCCATGCCTTTTTGTTTTGGGATTGGGCCATCCGATGAGTAAAAACCACCTGGTACTGTGAAACCAGCTGCAAAAGTCACTGTAGCTATGAGTATGGCTACAAGTATGAGTGTGTTGGCTGCATCCTTCACATTCCATTCTTTATTGATGGATGTTGTTTGTGGCATGCTCAACATATTTGCCTTCACGTCCACACCAGCATTATATAAAATTACAGTTGCTAGAAGCTGCAAGGTAGTCAAATCAAACAGGCTTACATGTTTATTCTATTACTAAGAAAATAAGTCTTTAGAATCAAAACCTTTTAGAAAGTTAATAAAAAGAAGACATAGATGCTTGTCAATCTTACCTCTTGACGTGTCTCAGGAATCCTACGTTGCGTCCAAACAACATCTCGAGCTGTCAAACCATTGTTATTGACTAGGTTCAAATCGATCCTTTGGTCTTGTGATAGAAGGAGTAGAGTCCAGAGACGCAATTCTCTTGAAGCCAAATGTAAGGGAGTATCTCCATTTATATCTCCCTTATTTATAGTGTCATGATGAATCTTGGGGTGGTTCAATAGATTTTTTACCACTTGAGTTCGTCCCTTCATTGCTGCAATGTGAAGAATGTTTTGACCTTTATGATTCAAGAAAAGTCCAGCATTTAATGACCAATCCATTTCAAGCAACTTTTTGACCACTTCAACATTGCCCTCTTCGCAGGCGAGGTGAATTGGAAGATTGCCATCTGAGTTTCGTTGAAAAGCAATCATGGGAGAAGTTTCTAACATTATACAAACTCCTTCCATGTAACCAGAGTATGCTGCATAATGAAAGGGAGTGTTGTTGTTCTCATCCCTTTGATCCAGTAGCTCTTTTCTTGTATCAACAATCTTTTTCAATAGACCTTCACGCATAAGACAAAATATATTAGGGAAAAGTGAAACAAACATGAACTTAATCATTTTAAGAGTATGCTTACCTTTAGTTCGTTCTGATATTGCAGCATGAAGTGGAGAGTCCCCATTTGACATGGTTTTGCCAGAGGGGATTGGAATTAACCTCAAGAGAAGATAAAGAATATCCTTGTCCCTTATCAGAACTGCTAAATACATTGGCGATTTACAACTAAAATCATAGTTCCAAGTCCAGTAAGTGGCCAGATCACTTCGCTTATGTGCAACTAAAAGGAAAAGAACCACAGAATAATCCTTGCTCAAAACAGCTTCGTGCAGAGCTGTCCTCCCATAATTGTTGCGTAACATGATAAACTCCATTTTATCTATAGATTCCACCTCCTCAGATGTCATGAAATGTTTATCCAAGTCGAGAATGTTCTTAATGGCGAGAAGATTCTTAGCTCTGGCAGCAACATGAAGTGGAGTATCACCTATCATATTTGTCTGGTACAAAAGCTTAGGATAGTGAAAAGCAATAAGACATAAAACCTGTTCACTCCCATGTTGGGCTGCAACATGAAGCAACGAATCACCTGTGGGAGTGACATGATTAAAAATGGCGGCCACATCAACTTTATTTTCTGCACAAACTTGCTCCAGTACATAAACAAATCTATCTGCATCTGCATTTTTATCAGAAGCCGCCTCATACAACTCATAACACATAGTATGTACCCTGTTTCCATAAAATGGCATATCATTAGCCAATGAACAGAACTGCTTTTCCATCAGTTCATGCATCTTTTCGTTGCCACAAAATTGAAAATCATCAACTGATGAACTTTCCAGCATTTTGATCAGATTACGCATCTTTTTGCCGCGAAGAAATGCCATGTCATCGCGGAACTGCATTTCTATCAGCCCACTCATCACTTTGCCGCTAAATGCCCTGGACTGCCGCTTTGTTTCTCTGTTCATGTTCTCTTCCTCCTGCTCCGTATTATCTCCCATATTTTCGTTAGGGTTCGCTTCGGTAGCCACATCTAAGGTTATTTCGATAGAGTCCGTATCGGCCATTAATTGCAACTAGCTAGCACTTCAATTAAAGGCAACCCAAAACGATAGAAGTTTTTTTCTTTGGGGACTGAAAAAGCGATAGAAGTTTAATAATTAGAAGTTGAAGTGAAATGGGAGTGGAGAGAGATCAAAGTTATTTGATAATAATCATAAAAAAAATGTTTAATAATTAAATACTCCCTTCGTTCTTATCTTTAAGATTTCAAAATTTGAAATGATTGGATCTTTTTTATAACATCCTACTAAGAAGTGTCTCAACTTTAAGTGCGTTTTTATTAATTTTATCTCTAATAAATTTTCTAACCTCTCTGCTCATTTTTTAAATTTTTTTCATTTATCTCGTAATAATATTTTTCTCTTATTTTAAAAAATAGATTTAATTTTACTGTTTAACAATTTTTAAATCATATAATTTAGTTATTAAAGTCCAAAGGAATAAAATAGAAAAGACGAAGGAAAGAAAATCGGAGTGCGGCAAACCGGGGGAACATAACAACGGTCAGGGAACGCAGAAAGTGTGGCAGAAGAAAGTCGCCCGATATCCTTACCAGAAGGACAGCGTTCTCGAGGTTGGAGAAAGTAGTAAAACGGGTCAAAAGCAGAGCGAACAAAGGGGCGGCAGGAAAGAAAAGAGACATACAAGGAAGAAGTGAGGGTAAAGGAAGACAGGAATAAACCTAGCAGAAGTCCTAATGGGCCTAGTCAATAGCAAGGCCCAAATGTTGAAGTAAGTGGCGGTGGAAAAACTGGTGTACGTGGGCTGAAAAAGGAACCAAAGGCCCAAAATTTTTTCTCTTATTCTGAAAAAACAAAAATAAGTTATTGAATTATGCTAAAAAAGCTTACTAGAAAACCTTCATTTTGTCAGTTCATTTAAAATTGCACTTGCTAAGAAGGATTTTAGAAGCAATACCCTGATAAATAATTTTCATGGTGCAGTATCCCAACAATTAATGTTATTTTTTATAGCATTTGGCTCAAAAAGCCATTTAAAGATTTAATTATTAATACAACATAGATCCATGTAGCTAACTCCATGCGATAAGATAATACTATTGTTGTAGGGCTAAAATAAAAACTTATTAACAGAAAATGAAAGGATCAAAACCCTGGGAGATGATAGTATCGTTTAAGCAGCTGAACTAACAAGAGACACTGAGAATAATGGTTTCCACTTTCCAGTGCCAGCAGTAATATTTAAAGAAATAGAAACATGGATCATTAAGAAGAAGAAGAAGAAAGCAAGAAAATGCAGAGCTTATTTCTATTCAACACCAAATCCAGCAAAAATAAGCTTCCATTTCTTCAAAAACGACGAGAGAGAGAGAGAGAGGACTTACGAAGCTGGAAGTAGTCTCTTCTCAGAAAATGGGCTGTTATGTTAGATGAACAGTCTGGAATCTAAGTTGCAGGGGCTAATTTCCTTAGCCCGTAGGTAGGTAGAGAGAGAGTGTGTGTGAGTGTGGCTCTTTAATTTGTTGGAGAATACTGAGGACGACCCCATGTGGCTCCTGGTCATTATTATATAGATCCATCCAATAGAGATAATGAATACTAAATTATTTTCGAGTGGGGAGCCCCAGATAATGAATATTAAAAGAACTTTTCTTTTCTTGAAGGAAGAGAAATATGAAAAAGGAGGGGGGAAGAAAAGAAAAGAGAACATGAATGTTTTTTAATTTGATTCAGCAAATCATGTTTGAGATGTAAAAAAAAAAAGGAAACATAATGAGGTTAAATTTGTTTCTATATAGAATGTTTAAATAACGAAATGAAAAGAGAACATGCATGCCGGAAATGAAATGAAATTTTTAATTTGATTCAGCAAATCATGTTTGAGATGTAAAAAAAAGAAACATAATGAGGTTATTACCCAAAAAAAAATAACGAAATGAAATTTTTACAATAAGAAAAAGAAAAATGAAACTCCTGGTTTGAAAATAATCTTCCATGAGTTCAAAAATATTAGCTTCTCTTTTACTTGATGAGTGTAGTTCGAATTGATATTGAGGAAGAGAATGAAAAAGAAGGTGAATGAAAAATATTTCAGTTTGTCATTTGGAGCTCGATGAAGTAATAACAATAAGATAAAATATGATTAGTTATCAAGGTTGTAAATTCTTTTAATGAAATAAAAAATTATTTAAATTTAGCATTTGGAATTTGTAGCTAATTCAACTCAAGATTTTTAAACTTGTATACAACTAAAAATTGTATAGGAGCCTAGCTGATTCCAGCCTTCCAGGGGAAAAAAGGGACGTAGCTAACTAGTGTTGTGTTATTAGTGCGAAGGTTTTTTTTTTTAATACTCCATCTAATCTTTAATATAGGAGTTAAAAGAAATGCTGGATTCTATTCTAAATATAAAATTTTAATTCCCTCTATCGTTTATATTCATAAATTTTTTTCTGAAACTATTTATATTGATTACGTATATTAAAAACAGTTTTAACATGAACTATTTTTACTTCTGTGATATGGTAATAAAAATCATGCATGGTTTGTTACCAATTTTGTTGAAGCAAACGTTACAATAACTAATCCTGAACAATTTCATGTCACAGATAGGTGGGACTCTAGCTTCCTTTCATGAAGAGAGAGCTAGGAGATGGCTTGAGGTCTGTCTACAAACTGTGGAGCTTTAAGCTGACTATGTTGTGGTTGATGCTTGAGATTTTTCAAACAGTATTCTATATGCTCATGCAGGTCTCAATAACAATGGAAACTTCAGAAACTATAAATCGGAGATTTGTCCACCCTTCTAGAAAGCATTCCCCCACAATCACAAAGGTTTTTACTTTTTGGCCTATGGAGTACTAACAGCTTTAATTTCGTTGATGAACTGCACATTTTTAATTTCTTCTGCTTGATGCCGCTTCCTTTCTGTGCTGTTGAATAACCCAATAGTCTTGAGGATTTCATTATTTTCTTTGAGGAAGGTTAGATTTTGTAGATTGCGCTTCTTTTTTTTTTTTTGGTTAAGAATAATTGGCATTGTTTTGAAGCCTCTTCATGTTGCCTTAGCTGAAAGATTCGTTCATTTAGTTGGGGTTTTCCCCTTTTCCCCACCTCATGGTGAAAGTTCATCTAGTGTCTTTGTTGCCTTTGCAATAGAAACGTTAATTTAGTACTCCTCCGGTCCTAATTATAAGACCCAATTGACTTATTTGAGGAGATTAAGGAAGTAAGTTAAGTTGGTTATTTATAATAAATAAGTGTTGTTATTCCTAAAATATCCTTGCTAATTAAGTATATTGGCTAAAACTATTATTATTAGAAGGATTATCTTGGAAAAAAATGCATAAATATAAAAGAAAAAAATGGATTGGGTCTTATAATTAGGACCAAATAAAAAGTCAAATTGGGTCTTATAATAAGGACCGGAGGAGTAGTTTTTTTTTGTTGTTTTCTTCTTGCTTTTTTCCCCTTCAAAATGAAATTTCATTTAGTGTCCTGTACATGTCAAGTTTCTGTGAAAAATTGAAGATGAGAGCTGAGTCACGATATCACCATTAAGTTCTTTCTATGTGCACATGCTAATGACGTTGGCTTCTGATAGATTTGTTCTCAGTTGTTTTTCTTAGGTCAGAGTGACCATTATGAAGTTGTTGCAGATTTGGTTCAATGTCGTTCTCCACTCCTCGTGTGTCAGTGCAATGGGTTCTTAGATTTGAATTTTATGCCACTCCAAAGAATTTGGATTGGACCAAGTATGAATTTCGACCTTGCCTTTTTTTTTTTTTGTTGGTTGAGCCCTAAATCGCGATTTTCCATTCCTTATATTTTTGGCATCCTCTGTTTATGGAACTGGTTTTTACGTCCACTTGTCTCTACGGCTGGATCCATTTTTATCAATCAGTCTAGGCATTGTGTTCATGTGATGTTGAACCATCAATTTTCACATCTTTATGTAATGTTGAGCCTTCAAGTATTAAATTGTAGTTGGCTGCATGCCCGGCACCCTTGTGATAAGGGCTTCTGGTGCCGGCGCATGCCACCTTTGCGAGTGCAATATTCATTGGAAACAATAAAAAGACATATCCCACACACAACGATATTAACTGCTACTAAAACTCAAATAGTTGTGAACCCCATAAAAATACCAAGAAACCCCCAAGTTACTGTCACAATTTTAATTGGTTTGACTGTGTCAAACATAAATGTTAACACTGCAACTGCAGAAATGGCCAGCTATCTAAGATAGTTGACAACAAGCGTTTGTTTGCACAATACAGAGGGCCGCCCTTAACCCCCAACAATTAACTGTGTGATGATAGATAACATATGATTATATATATTGATATCATGATGCATAACCAAAAAAACACAGAAGCCCGCCCTTTCATCTGTTTCGATATCTCATGGAATGAAATAAGAGGGTCTAATAGCATTCTTAGTTTTAAAGCACTTTGAACTTTTGAATTAGCCATTGATTGTATTTTAAGCCATATGGTTTCTGAACCTCAAGTATGAACATCCTCTTCTGATTGAGGGAAGAGAAAAATGTGAATGGGTTCTTCCGATTGCAGTGCATGCACCTTCATCTAGGACTTCTGGGACAAGAAGTGAGAACCTGTCTCTCTGGTGGATCCCTTGTGGATGCATAATTAAAGGTATGAACAAATGTTTGATTCACTCTGAGCTATGTAAAATTGGTGCTGAAATTCAGGATTATAATAGTGCAATATTTTTTATTTTCTGTTCTATTTCTAATTTGCCTTTTGTAGTTGAATAATCGTTATGATTCCATTGGTACTTGATTTTGATTATATTGTGAATCAAGTTTTCCATTGAATTTTATGGATTTTCTATTGGCCATCAAATTTGATGGATATGATGGTCCTAGCTCATTTATTTTGCTTTATACTTGGATTAAGGCTGAACACGGTGGACATGAATATAACAAACTAGAGTTCCAGCTAAAACTTTCCAAGTGTTCTCTCTGTTTTTTTTTTAATTAATTGTTTAATATAATTAAACACATGCATATACAAATATTTCAAAACCAAACTTGAATTCGGGATCTCATCTAAGTACGGGGAGTGGTGTTGTGACCAGGGCAGCTAACCTTTAACCTTCTTACCATGCTCTTCTCTATTGCTACTATTATTACTAGTAATAAAATCTGATTCTCTTTATTTGAACCTAGTTCAAGAAAAATTGGAGCAAATATACATTAGTAACTATTTACCAAAAACGAATGTTAAACGACAGTACTTTATTCTCCGACTTGCTGACAATGTTAAAACAAGATATTTTTATTCATACACATAAAATTACTCTCAGATTACATGAACTAGCTGACATATAATACATAAATCACACCCAAGAATCACATAATTTTAGATGAACATCATGATACTAAAAGCACGGGCAACAATGATGATTAACATTTGTGACAGAGCTTGGAAAGTGTTGGCTGCAACCTCATCATTGACATCGATTTGCAAATGCTAGCTTCATTTGATTTGATTTTTGGCATCATCTTGATCGACTTGGTTGTCTTCGCCTGCATAATTGCTTTGCCAAGCATCGTCGCCTCCATAGACTAAAACAACCCTGATCCAAAGAAATAAGCCTATGATTTGCTTAAGTACGGGACGGCGACTTCCAAGTGGAAGGAATCCTAAAATACGAATAAACATCGTTAAGAAAATGGAAATGAATCCAATGACACTGATAACGTCCGCGACAATAGTGTTATTGCTCACAATCAAACGTATAGCAGCCAGAAATGCAACGGGCATTGCTATAAGGGCCACATGAACAAATAACCTAGCATACATATATACTAATGTCGCAAGACGACCATCTCCCATTGGGACCCATAGAAGAATGATAGAGCCAATGGTGGAGCTATACAAAGCAATAGTGTTAAAAGCCATGAAGATCTTGAATAGTGTTTGATCCGCCAAAAGTGCCATTCCCCTTTGTTTTGGGATTGGGCTATCCGCTGAGTAAAGCCCGCCTGGCACTGTAAAACCAGCTGCAAAAGTCAATGTGGCTATGAGTATGGCCACAAGTATGAGTGTGTTGGCGGCATCCTTCACATTCCATTCTTTATTGATGGATCTTGTGAGTGGCACGCTCAGCATATTTGCCTTCAGGTCCACACCAGCACGATATAAAATTACACGTGCCAGAAGCTGCAAGGCAATCAAATCAAACAGGCTTACATGTTATATTCTATTATTAAGCAAAAAAGTGTCTGGAATCAAAAGCTTTTAGAAAGTTAATAAAAAGAAGACATATATGCTTGTCAATCTTACCTCTTGATATGACTCTGGAATCTTACGTTGTATCCAAACAACATCTAGAGCTGTTAAACCTTTGTTATTGACTAAGTTCACATCGATCCTTTTGTCTCCTAATAGAAAGAATAGAGTCAAGAGACGCAATTCTCTTGAAGCCAAATGTAAGGGAGTATCTCCATTAACATCTCTCTCATTGATAGCGTCGTGATGAATCTTGGGGTGGTTCAGTAGATATATTATCACTTGACCATTTCCCTTCATTGCTGCAATGTGAAGAATGTTTTGACCTTTATTATTCAACCAAAGTCCAGCATTAGGCCACTCTATTTCAATCAACTTTTTGACCACTTTAACATTGCGCTTTTTACAGGCGAGGTGAATTGGAAGATTGCCATCTGAGTTTCGTTGAAAGGCAATCATGGGAGATGTTTCTATCATTATACAAACTCCTTCCATGTAACCAGAGTAGGCTGCATAATGAAGGGGAGTGTTGTTGTTCTCATCTCTTTGATACAGTAGCTCGTTTCTTGTATCAACAATATTTTTCAATAAATCTTCACACATAAAGCAAAATATATTAGGAAAAAGTGAAACAAACATGAACTTAATTATTTCAGTAGTATGCTTACCTTTGGTTCGTTCTGATATTGCAGCATGAAGTGGAGAGTCGCCATTTGACATGGCTTTGCCTGAGGGGATTGGAATCAACCTCAAGAGAAGATAAAGAATATTCTCATCCCTCATCAGAACTGCTAAATGCATTGGCGATTTACAACCATAATAATAGTTCCAGGTCCAGTAGGTGGCCAGATCACTTCGCTTATGTGCAACTAAAAGGGAAAGAACCACAGAATAATCCTTGCTCAAAACAGCTTCATGCAAAGCTGTCCTCCCATAATTGTTGCGTAACATAATAAACTCCGTTCTATCCACAGAGTCAACCCAGTGGGATGTCATGAAATGTTTTTCCATGTCAAGAATGTTCTTAATTGCCAAAAGATTCTTCGCTCTTGCAGCAACGTGAAGCGGAGTATCACCTTTCATATTTGTCCTGTACAAAAGCTTAGGATAGTGAAAAGCAATAAGACATAAAACTTGTTCACTTCCATGTTCAGCTGCAACATGAAGCAACGAGTCACCTGTGGGAGTGACATGGTTGAAAATAGTGGCCAAGTCAACATGATTTTTCTCACACATTTGCTCTAGTACATGAACAAATCCATCCGCATCTTCATTTTCATCACGAGCCGCCTGGTACAACTCATAATACACAATATGTACCATGTTGCCACAAAATGGCATGTCAGCAACCGATGAACCAAACTGCTTTTCCATCAGTTCACGCATCTTTTCATTGCCACAAGATTGTACATCATCAACTGATGAACTGCCCAGCTTATTCATCAGATTAGGAATCTTGTTGCTGCGAAGAAATGCCATATCATCACGTAACTGCATTTCCGTGAGCTCACTCGTCACTTTGCTGCTAAATGCACTGGACTGCGGATTTGTTGCAGCCACATCTAACCTTATTTCCACAGAGCCCGAATCGGCCATTGCAACTAGCTAGCACTTCAATCAAAGGCAATCCAAAAGATAAATCTCGTACTTGATCACCCGATTCAACTTAACTTCAGCGTTAGGGAAACCTTTGCGCTTTATAGACATTAAAAAATTCAAGTGAATGCAACTATACAACTTTCAGCTTATTCACTCAAAACGTTGAAGACAATATTGTCTTTGTTTCTCGTACTAATCCGATATAGGAATATTCGTCGAAACTTCAGTCCCCACACCTCCGCTTCGGTCACCGAAACCCACATGAAAGTTGCATTCATTAAGGACCTGTTTGGTCCAAGGAAAATGGAGCAGGAAGAAGAAAGAAAATTTTAATGAGCTCAATGCGTTAAAAGCTTTTAATTAAATTTTTTTCTTTTATCCTACATCTTTTCTTTATCAAAATTTCAGAGCTTCGTTTTTTAATTTTTTTAAAATTCAGCTGATTAAAATTTTTTTTTCACTCCAATTTTCTTATACAAAAAATATTGGGTACTAGACGACTCGTCCCGCCCTTTGTAACACCCCGAATTTTCTGACTCAGGATGAACAGAAAAGAGAAAGTTCATTAAAATTATTTAATAGCTCAATCAATTAGGAAAAATTATGGAATATTGATTTTTCAAGGTTTAGAAATATTTTGGAAAAGTTCATTCCCCGAAAAGTGGCTTAAATGATTTTAAAGCTATTTTCATAGCAAAATGGGTTATTTTCTTAGAAAATACTTAGAGGTTTCTAATTAACTAGAAAATTTTAGGGAAATTATTTTATGGTTCAAAGAAGCTAATGGATAAGAAAAATCCATTTATGATATTTTGGTTTAATTTCTGGACATATCTTATATTTCAAAAAAATAGGAGAAGGATAAGATTGGAGAAATAATTATTTTGGAGGGCAAAATGGTCCAGCAACTATGTAATACACGTGCTTCCTTCTCCATTAGCCACCTGATTCACTTCTTCATTACATAACTGATCACCGTGGCATTCTTTCATTTCCTTCCATCCGCGACAGTGAGAGAACTCGAGAGAGGGGAAGACCGAGAGGAAGAAGTTGGTGATCGGAGGTAGTGATCGGTGGCCAGATTCCTGCATGCAAACGGAGTTTCAGATTCAGGTGAGCCCCCTGATCATCATTCTACTCTTCGTTCTTTGGTTTGCTGTGTGTTTGAAGAGTTAATGATGAAAGAAGTTTGGGTTCTAGTGAGAGAAAGTGAGTAAAAGGATACAAGTTTCAGTGAGCTGGTGTTTTTATGGCCGATTGAAGTATATGGTGCTGGTTTTTGAGCTTGCATGTGCTATTTTTCTTCTCTGTTTATGTCAACCGAAAACAGAGGTTAAAGGGAGGAGAAGGACGCTTCTTTTATTTATATATATATATATATATATAGATATATGCATGTGCTGCGGGATCATGAAGGTGTTTATATGTGATAGGTTGCTCTGTTTCTTGAATCCGAGACAGGGGAGTGGGTTTTGTGCTCGCATGTTGTTTTCGGTTGTGGTTCTTAGCTTCTAACACAGGAGCTAATAGCTTGAGATAATGATGTCTGGTTTTTGGTGGTTGGATGTTATATGAATGAGGTATATAGGTTTGTTCTGGGATTGCATGTCGTCTAGCTTTATTGTGCGTGAAGTTTCTAAGTTCATGACCCCTGATTCTGGTAAGCCGAGACAAGCTCTAAAGGTTGGAAAGTTTCTGGTTTTTGTTGGTTATGAGATAGGAAAGAAAATGATACACGTTTGTCTATGTGCGCCTCGGTCAAGTTTGTGGGAACTGAATTTACAGAGTTAAGTGGCGTTGGGTTCACTGGTTGAAAGGAGACCGAACTGACATATATGTATATAGTTTCGGTACATGTGTGTGTTTGTTGCTGTCGTGAGACTTGAATTCATGGAGCTAGGGGAAATAATCAATGGTTAGATGATGACTGGTTTGGAGAGGAGACTGAATTGATGTATATATATGTATATAGTCTCACAATATATAGTAATATATGACTTACGTGGGAATTTACAGTGGTTATATTTTATATATAAGGGCCGTGGGATTATAATGGAAGGAAAGGTAATTGAGGAGGAATGTTAAAGTTTGAAGGAATTAAATGGGTAGATGTTTGAAGTTAGAAATGAATTAATAAAATGTGAAGTGATTTTCATGAACTTAAGATATGGAGAAGTAAGGAAATAGACTAGTGGTAATAGAATAGATATAATGGGAAGTTTTAAAGATTGAAGGATTGAGTGAGAATTAAAGTTAATGGCTGTTTGGTCGCCGAATAATCTTAAAGTTAGATATTTGCTTGAGGAAGTTTAACTTGGGATCTAAGAGATTAGAATAATTAAGTGAAGGGAACTCATTATTTTGCCTTCAAATATAATAGATAAAAATAGTATATTTGACCAAGATGACCAGTTACTAAGAAAAGTAACTGTTTGGGCTGAGATAAAGAGAGAAACCCCCCACAGTAAATGTATTAAATAAGAAAATTGTCCAGAATGACCAACTACTAAGTAAGGGTAGAGATTGAAGAAAATCTAGGACGTTAAGTGAGCTATTTAATTTATGAATTTACAGTTGGATCAAGCGTTAATCTATCCTTACCAATATGATAGGTTTTGATATCTGCAAAAGCCCACCAAGAAGCAGAAAGAAAGGAGAACGGTAAGGTTTGATTTGGAGGGATGCGGACCAGGTAGTAGTTCTTTCCTACCTTACACTTGTGTATGATTGCTGCATGTCTGTTTGTGCCATATTACTTTTCTAAAGCATGAGAACATGTAATCCTTAATTCCTTGCATGGATTTTTAGCCGTGACCACGTGCAGCTGATAAACATGGGGCAGTGATTGCCAATTATATGCGCGGCAGTGATTGCCAATTATTTGCGCGGCAGTGATTGCCAATTATTTGCGCGGCAGTGATTGCCAATTATTTGCGCGGCAGTGATTGCCAATTATATGCGCGGCAGTGATTGCCAATTATTTGCGCGGCAGTGATTGCCAATTATTAGCGCATTATTTATTCAGCTTGTCTAATAGACATGGGGCAATGATTGCCAGGTATTTGCACATTATTTATTCAGCTTTTCTATCTGTCATTGTGCATAAATGCTTAATTGCATTAGCTTGCAAGGTTATGTTCTACTTTGGCTTGTTTTGCATGCTTTATGTGATCTGCACATTTGTTTGATGGAAATTACTACTACGGGGATTCTTCGGAATCTCACCCTCCAATTTATGATGAACAGTGAAAGCTAGTAGCCCGAAGGACAAGGAGGTTGTTTAAGAAGAAGGTGGGCTGATTGAAGAGCAGAGATACCTGTTATAATTCTGTAAATTGTATAGTAAAATATTCGAGCAAGTAACTTTACTTGCTTTATGGAAATATTATTTTGTATCCTTTAGAAGAAGGAGGTGAGCATTGCCAGGTGCACGTATATGCTGTCAACCAAGAGCGTTGCTTTATTTTTAATATAATATTTAAGATTGTATAGTATGAAATTATTTTAGGTGATAATAGATTGAGTTGAAAGCAGGGTTGATGTTGGATCACTAATCTGTTATCTGAAGGTTTGAAACATTTGATCAACGAATTCTAATGTTAAAGAAAAAAAAAATTCCCTGTCTTTTCTCAGGACGGAAACCTGGCGTTAGTGATTCACAGACGTTAAAATGATCCTATTAGTATATAAAAGTGAGGTGTTGCACCCTTCGGGCCAGCGACCTGAAAGTTGCATTCACTGAGTCAATGTCCGGACACTAACCTGTCAACTCTCAGTCCATAAATGGAACGCATGTGCTTTAATTTGTTTTGATTGGATGAAAGTGTTGTTTCTTTCTTTCTTTCTTTTCTTCTCCTCCGGGCCAAAAGTCAGTAAGAGGTTGGCTTTTTTTTTGGGTAAGAGAATGAGTGGTTGGCTTTTTCCGTCAAGTGAAAATTACTTGGCTAATTAATGACCATTAGATCACAATCTTTAAATCTTGACCAACGAAGTCCTTGTCCTTGGTTTCTATAGGCTAAGAGCGTGCTTCTTGGCCATGATTTACCCTCTGCCTTTAATCTTGGCTCCGTACTATTTTGAGCGCGTTTCTTACTTAATTTTCTTAAATTAATCAAGTGGTTTTTATATTAAAGACCAATAGATAATAGTAAACAAACCTATACACTATCAGATTACATCCGTCTCGAGTTAGGGCAAAGCGTGATTTTAAAATATTATAAGGAAGGGTAATTTTAAAAAATATGCATAACATTTTAGAAAAATCCCGGTAGAATAAGAAAAACAGAGACTAATGACTCGGCCCAAATAAATGAGAAAAATTAACTCAAAAAATTTTAAATAATTATTAGAATTTTGGTTAATTAAAAAATAGTTAGTCAAACTCAATTACAAAAAATATAAGGAGGATTCAAAAAATTGGGGAAAAGAAGAAAATTTATTTTGAAATTAATATGATAAGAATATTTTCATGCCATAGAAATGGAAATATAAGGACGACTTAGAAAATTGGAAAAGATAAGAATATTTTCATGCAATGGAAATGGAAAATTTAGCTAACTGAATATTTTATATGGTTTTAACCAAAAATAGGGCTTTTTTAAAAAATAAAGTAAAATATTTAGAGATCAAATTTCAGGTTATATAAAAAAAAAAGTTGGCTAGTCACTTCCTAATAAATGTGAGTTCTTTATAGTTTCACATTGATCATACGGCCAAATAATCTGCAAAACGCATTCGGAGAAGATTAATCAGATATTAATTGAAGAGTAAAAGTTAATTAAAATAAGTTGTTGTTGTGATCAATGCAACGATACAGATAAGACGCATGTGGTCTGGTAAGAGAGTGGAATATTGTGTGTTCCGTCACTATGGATTATTATGGTCATCTTGTGAAGTCACTTTCTTAATAGCATTCCATAAGTCTTTGTCTTTTGACCGTAAGAATATTGTAGCAGACGATATTAATTAAAACCCGCTTGTTCTTTTCTCTTTCTTTAGTTTCCTTCATTTTTTTACGTAGTGCCAATAATTGGCTTTAAGGCCTTCACGGCTTTTGTATATCTTGTTCATGTTATGACTTTCTTTTATGTAGGGTGTTATGACAACGTTATGTTTTAGTTTATACTTCCTCCGGTCCTAATTATAAGAACTATTTGACTAATTTGAAAAGATTAAGAAAATAAGTTAAATTAGTTATTTGTAATAAATAGGTGTTGTATTTCTTAAAATATCCTTGCTACTCAATTGTGTTGGTTAGAATTACCATTATTAAAAGGACTATCTTAAAAAAAAAAACATAAATATGAGAGACAAGGTGGATTAGGGTGTTATAATTAAGACCAAAATAAAAATCAAACAAGGTCTTGTATTAAAGACCGGAAATAGTATTTAAATATTAATATGATGACAAAAATATTTAAAACCATTAATTAAAATCTTCGATGCGTTTAATGATAGCTATATGTGTTAAATGTAAATTTAAATTTATAAGAAATGGTATATAAAAGGATCAGATTAGAACACTCGCTCAAAAAGTTGAATACAATATTGTCTTTATTTCTCGTACTAATCCGATATAGGAATATTCGTCGAAACTTCAGTCCCCACAACTCCGCTCCGGTCACCAAAACCCGCATGAAAGTTGCATTCATTAGGGACCTGTGTGGTACAAGGAAAATAGAAAAGGAGAAAAAGAGAGAAATTTTAATGAGCTCAACAGAATTAAAAGCTTTTAATTAAATATTTTTTCTCTTTTTTCTTACATCTTTTTTTTTATCAAAATTTCCGAGCTCCACTTTTTAATTTTTTAAATTTAACTTATTAAAATTTTTTCTCCACTTCAATTTTCTTGTGCCAAAAATATTGAGTAATAGACAACTCGACCCACCCTTGGGGTCAGCGACCTGAAAGTTGCATTCACCGAGTCAAGGTATCTGACAACTCTCAACCCATAAAATGGAATGCATGGGCTTTACTTTGCTTTGATTGGATGAAAGTGTTTGTTTTTTTTTTTCTCTCTTTTCTTCTCCTCCGGGCCAAAAATTAGTAAGGGAAAGAATGAATGGTCGGCTTTTTTCGTCAAGTGAAAATTACTTGGCTAATTAGTGACCATTAGATCACAATCTTTTAAATCTTGACCAACGAAATCCTTGTCCTTAGTTTCTATTGGCTAAGAGTGTGCTTCTCGCCCTTGATTTACCCGGCATTTTCCCTTTAATATTGGCTTCATATTATTTTGAACACGTTCTGGGGTCTCACACGATGCAGAAGAAAAATCTATTAGTCCCCTCCATCCCCCTTTTGCAACCTTTCACTAAATCACATAAATAAAAAAAAGTATGTTGAAATTAGTTCAAAATAATAAATATGTAAAAGTTAAAAAAATTTTCCTATAAAAAAACATTATTTATGAGGGAGAGAGCATGAAAAATAGAATAAAACATTATTATAATAAAAAGAATTATAAAAGAGAGAATGTGTGATGGAGAAAGATTATATTAAAATATAATCTTAAAAATATTTATTATCCAGAAAATATATTTTAACAAATAAAAATAAACGTACGGCAAAATAAGAAATTTGTTAAAAAAATTAAAATAATTTGCAAATATTACATTTATTTAAGAACAAAGAATGAATTGTGGTTGCTGCTTATATAAAAAGATGGAAGGGTTACAACAACGGGCCTTTATTGAAAAATGAGGATTAAACACGAGATTAAAGTCAGATTAAGGATTAAACATGCAATTAAGGTTGGATCAGGGGTCAAATAAAAATATAAAATACTACCTCTGATTTTTAATATAAAATCTAGTTGATTTATTTAAAGAGATTATGAAAGTTAATAAATTATCTTAAAGTATTTATATTTATTGTTTGTTCAAACTAATTTGTCACTCTTGTAAATTGATCTGTAATTTAATGATACCGTAATTATTTTTGAGATACAATGTACTATATACTATAATTAAGTAATTTTTTAATTTTCTCAAATTAATTAAGTAGTTTTTATATTAAGGACGAGTTAGGGCAAAGTGTGATTTTCAAAAAATACAAGGAAGGGTAATTTTAAAAAATATGCATAACATTTTAGAAAAATCTTCGCATATGAAGAAAAACAGAGACTAATGGCTCGGACCAAATAAGTGAGAGAAATTACCTTAAATTTTTTTTAAATAATTACTAGAATTTTGGTTATTTAAAGAATAGTTAGTTAGACTCAATTACAAAAAATATAAGGAGGATTCAAAAGATTGGAAAAGATAAGAAAAATTATTTTGAAATTAATATGTTAACAATATTTTCATGCCATAGAAATGGAAATATAAGGAGGGCTTAGAAAATTGGAAAAGATAAGAATATATTCATGCTATAGAAATGATAACTATATGTGATAAATGTAAATTTAAATTTATAAGAAATGGTATCAGATGGGAACACTCACTCAAAAAGCTGAATACAATATTGTCTTTATTTCTCATACTAATCCAATATAGGAATATTCATCGAAACTTCAGTCCCCACACCTCCGCTCCGGTCACCAAAACCCGCATGAGAGTTGCATTCATTAGGGACCTGTGTGGTACAAGGAAAATAGAGGAGGAGAAAGAGAGAGAATTTTAATGAGCTCAACAGAATTAAAAGCTTTTAATTAATTTTTTTTCTCTTTTTTCTTATATCTTTTTTTAATCAAAATTTCATAGCTCCACTTTTTAATTTTTTAAATTTAACTCATTAAAAATTTTTCTCCACCTCAATTTTCTTGTACCAAAAATATTGGATAAAAGATGACTCGACCCACCCTTTTGCCCGGCGACCTCAAAGTTGCATTTATCGAGTCAATGTCCTTTGTCCGGACACTTGTCTGCCAACTCTCAATCCATAAAATGAAACGAATGTGCTTTAATTTGTTTTGATTGGATGAAAGTGTTGTTTGTTTCTTTCCTTTCTTCTCCTCTGGGCCAAAAATTAGAAAGAGGAAGAATGAATGGTTGGCTTTTTTCGATGGCCAATAGATCACCATTTATAAATCTTGACCCACGCAATCTTTGTCCTTAGTTTCTATTGGTCAAGAGTGTGCTTCTTGGCGATGATTTACAAGTCATTCGCCCTTTAATAATGGCTCCACAACTTTTTGAACATTTTATGGGGTCTTACTCAATGCACAAGAAAAACCTATTTCCCCTCCCCCCGCGCCCCCCTCTTACAACCATCGAAGTAAATCATACGGATCAAAAAAATTAGTTAAAATTTGATGGATATGATGATCCTAGCTCATTTATTTTGCTTTATACTTGGACCAAGGCTGAACACGGTAGACATGAATAAAACAAACTAGAGTTCCAGCTAAAACTTTCTATGTGTTCTCTCTGTTTTTTTTATTAATTGTTTAATATAATTAAACACATGCATATACAAATATTTCAATACCAAACTTGAATTCGGGATCTCATCTAAGTATGGGGAGTGTTGTTGTGACCAGGGCAGCTAACCTTTAACCTTCTCACCATGCTCTTGTCTATTGTCACTGTTATTACTAATAACAAAATCTGATTCTCTTTATTTGAACCTAGTTCAAGAAAAATTGGAGCAAATATACAATAGTAACTATTTACCAAAAACGAATGTTAAAACAACAGTACTTTATTCTCCAACTCGGTGACAATGTTAAAACAAGATATTTTTATTCATACACATAAAATTACTCTCAGATTACATGAACTAGTTGACATATAATACATAAATCACGCCCAAGAATCACATAATTTTAGATGAACATCATGATACTAAAAGCACCGGCAACAATGACGATTAACATTTGTAACTGGATCTTGGAAACTATTGGCTGCAACCTCATCATTGATATCGCTTTGCAAATGCTAGCTTCATCATTTGATTTGATTTTTGGCATCATCTTGATCGACTTGGTTGTCTTCGTCCTCATAAATGCTATGCCAAACATCCTGGCTTCCATAGACTAAAACAACAATGATCCAAAGAAATAAGCCTACGATTTGCTTAGTTACGGAACGGCAACGTCCAAGTGCCATGAATACTAAAATACAAAGAAACATCATTAAGAAAATGGAAATGAATCCAATGACACTGATAACGTCCGCAACAATAGTGTTATTGCTCACAATCAAGCGTATAGCAGCCAGAAATGCAACGGGCATTGCTGTAAGGGCCACATAAACAAATAACCTAGCATAGACATATACTAATGTTGCAAGACGACGATCTCCAATTGGGACCCATAGAAGAATGATAGAGCCAATGGTGGAGCTGTACAAAGCAATAGTGTTAAAAGCCATGAAGATCTTGAATAGTGTTTGATCCGCCAAAAGTGCCATTCCCCTTTGTTTTGGGATTGGGCTATCCGCTGAGTAAAGCCCACCTGGCACTGTAAAACCAGCTGCGAAAGTCACTGTGGCTATGAGTATGGCCACAAGTATGAGCGTGTTGGCTGCATCCTTCACATTCCATTCTTTATTGATGGATCTTGTATGTGGCACGCTCAGCATATTTGCCTTCAGGTCCACACCAGCACGATATAAAAGTACACGTGCCAGATACTGCAAGGTAATCAAATCAAACAGGCTTACATGTTATATTCTATTATTAAGCAAAGAAGTGTCTGGAATCAAAAGCTTTTAGAAAGTTAATAAAAAGAAGACATAGATGCTTGTCAATCTTACCTCTTGACGTGTCTCTGGAATCTTACGTTGCATCCAAACAACATCTAGAGCTGTTAAACCTCTGTTATTGACTAAGTTCACATCGATTCTTTTGTCTCGTAATAGAAAGAGTAGAGTACAGAGATGCAATTCTCTTGAAGCCAAATGTAAGGGAGTATCTCCATTAACATCTCTCTCATTGATAGCGTCGTGATGAATCTTGGGGTGCTTCAGTAGATACATTATCACGTGAATATTTCCCTTCATTACTGCAATGTGAAGAATGTTTTGACCTTTATTATTCAACCAAAGTCCAGCATTAGGCCACTCTATTTCAAGCAACTTTTTGACCACTTTAACATTGCGCTTTTTACAGGCGAGGTGAATTGGAAGATTGCCATCTGAGTTTCGTTGAAAGGCAATCATGGGAGATGTTTCTATCATTATACAAACTCCTTCCATGTAACCAGAGTAGGCTGCATAATGAAGGGGAGTGTTGTTGTTCTCATCTCTTTGATACAGTAGCTCGTTTCTTGTATCAACAATATTTTTCAATAAATCTTCACACAATAAGCAAAATATATTAGGAAAAAATGAAACAAACATGAACTTAATTATTTCAGTAGTATACTTACCTTTGGTTCGTTCTGATATTGCAGCATGAAGTGGAGAGTCGCCATTTGACATGGCTTTGCCTGAGGGGATTGGAACTAACCTCAAGAGAAGATAAAGAATATCCTCATCCCTCATCAGAACTGCTAAATGCATTGGCGATTTACAACCATAATAATAGTTCCAGGTCCAGTAGGTGGCCAGATCACTTCGCTTATGTGCAACTAAAAGGGAAAGAACCACAGAATAATCCTTGCTCAAACAGCTTCATGCAAAGCTGTCCTCCCATAATTGTTGCGTAACATAATAAACTCCGTTCTATCCACAGAGTCAACCCAGTGGGATGTCATGAAATGTTTTTCCATGTCAAGAATGTTCTTAATTGCCAAAAGATTCTTCACTCTTGCAGCAACGTGAAGCGGAGTATCACCTTTCATATTTGTCCTGTACAAAAGCTTAGGATAGTGAACAGCAATAAGACATAAAACTTGTTCACTTCCATGTTCAGCTGCAACATGAAGCAACGAGTCACCTGTGGGAGTGACATGATTGAAAATAGTGGCCAAGTCAACATGATTTTTCTCACACATTTGCTCTAGTACATGAACAAATCCATCCGCATCTTCATTTTCATCACGAGCCGCCTGGTACAGCTCATAATACATAATATGCACCATGTTGCCACAAAATGGCATATCAGCAACCGATGAACCAAACTGCTTTTCCATCAGTTCACGCATCTTTTCATTGCCACAAGATTGTACATCATCAACTGATGAACTGCCCAGCTTATTCATCATATTAGGAATCTTGTTGCTGCGAAGAAATGCCATATCATCACGTAATTGCATTTCCGTGAGCTCACTCGTCACTTTGCTGCTAAATGCACTGGACTGCGGATTTGTTGCAGCCACATCTAACCTTATTTCCACAGAGCCCGAATCGGCCATTGCAACTAGCTAGCACTTCAATCAAAGGCAATCCAAAAGACAAATCTCGTACTTGATCACCCGATTCAACTTAACTTCAGCGTTAGGGAAACCTTTGCGCTTTATAGACATTAAACAATTCAAGTGAATGCAACTATACAACTTTCAGCTTATTCACTCAAAACGTTGAAGACAATATTGTCTTTATTTCTCTTACTAATCCGATATAGGAATATTCGTCGAAACTTCAGTCCCCCACCTCCGCTTCGGTCACTGAAACCCACATGAAAGTTGCATTCATTAAGGACCTGTTTGGTCCAAGGAAAATGGAGAAGGAAGAAGAAAGAAAATTTTAATGAGCTCAATGCGTTAAAAGCTTTTAATTAAATTTTTTTCTTTTATCCTACATCTTTTCTTTATCAAAATTTCAGAGCTCGTTTTTTAATTTTTTTTAAATTCAGCTGATTAAAATTTTTTTTCCCTCCAATTTTCTTGTACCAAAACTATTGGGTACTAGACGACTCGTCCCCCTTCGGGCAGCGACCTGAAAGTTGCATTCACCGAGTCAATGTCTGGACACTTACCTGTGAACTCTCAGTCCATAAATGGAACGCATGTGTTTTAATTTGTTTTGATTGGATGAAAGTGTTGTTTCTTTCTTTCTTTCTTTTCTTCTCCTCCGGGCCAAAAATCAGTAACAGGAAGAATGAGTGGTTGGCTTTTTTTTGGGTAAGAGAATGAGTGGTTGGCTTTTTCCGTCAAGTGAAAATTACTTGGCTAATTAATGACCATTAGATCACAATCTTTAAATCTTGACCAACGAAGTCCTTGTCCTTTGGTTTCTATAGGCTAAGAGCGTGCTTCTTGGCCATGATTTACCCTCTGCCCTTAATCTTGGCTCCGTACTATTTTGAGCGCGTTCTTACTCAATGCACAAGAAAAATGTGTTACCTTTCACAACCTTTCACTAAATCACATGAATAAAAAAGTTCGTTAAAATTAATGAAAAATAATAAACGTATAAAATTTTTTAAAAAAATTCCTATAAAATGACATTATTTATAAAGGAAAAAGCATAAAAAAGAGAATAAAAAATTATTATAATAAAAAGAATTATAAAAAAGAGAATGTGTAATGGAGAGAGAGATTATATAAAATATAACCTTCAAAAAATTTATTATCCAGAAAATATATTTTGAAAATTAAAAAATAAATGTAAGGCAAAATAGAAAATTTGTTACAAAACATTTAAAATAATTTGCAAATAGTACATATATTTAAAAACAAAAAATGAATGGTGGTTGTTGGTTATATAAAAAGACAGAGGGATTACAACATCCGGCCTGTCTTGAAAAATAAGGATTAAACACGCAATTAAGGTTGGATCAAGGGTCAAATAAAAATATAAAATACTACTTCTGATTTTTAATATAAGATCTAGTTGATTTGTTTGAGAAGATTATGGAAGTTAATAAATTATCTTAAAGTATTTATATTTATTTTTTCAAAACTAATTTGTCACTATCATAAATTGATATATAATTTAATGATACACATAAGTATTTTAGAAATATCATGTAATATATACAATAATTAAATAATTAATAATTTTTTAAATTTTCTTAAATTAATCAAGTGGTTCTTATATTAAAGACCAATAGATAATAGTAAACAAACCTATACACTATCAAATTACATCCGTCTCGAGTTAGGGCACAGCGTGATTTTAAAACATTATAAGGAAGGGTAATTTTAAAAAATATGCATAACATTTTTAGAAAAATCCCCGTAGACTAAGAAAAACAGAGACTAATGGCTCGGACCAAATAAATGAGAACAATTACCTCAAAAAAATTTTAAACAATTATTAGAATTTTGGCTAACTAAAGAATTGTTAGTCAAACTCAATCACAAAAAATATAAGGAGGATTCAAAAAATTGGGAAAAATAAGAAAAATTATTTTGAAATTAATAAGATAAGAATATTTTCATGCCATCGAAATGAAAATATAAGGAGAAACGGAAGTTTTCACTAAGTGAATATTTTATATGGTTTTACCCAAAAATAGAGCTATTTTTGGGGAAAAAATAAATTAAAATATTTAGAGATCAAATTTCAGGTTGGGAAAAAAAAAGTTGGCTAGTCGCTTCCTAATAAATATGAGTTCTTTATAGTTTCACATTGATCATAAGGCCAAATAATCTCCAAAACGCATTTGGAGAGGATTAATCAGATATTAATTGAAAAGTTAATTAAAATAAGTTGTTGTGAAGGGCAATGCATGAGTTTCTAAAAGTACAAAGGTGGCATGATCTTATGCATGGAGGAAAGGAAGAAGAAATTGTGGCCATTATACGGAAGTCATTAAATTAATCATTTTCGAAAGGAGGTGCGTCATACCTTATTATAGGATCACTTATCTAAGTTGTTTGGCTATTCCACAAGATTGTACATCATCAACTGATGAACTGGACAACATTTCCATCAGATTAGGCATCTTGTTACTGTGAAGAAATGCCATATCATAACGTAATTGCATTTCCATTAGCTCACTTGTCACCTTGCTGCTAAATGCACTGGACTGCCGATTAGTTTCTCTGCTCCTGTTCTCCTCCTCTTGCTGCAAACTATCTCCCATGTTTTTGTTGGGGTTCACTTCAGCAGCCACATCTAACCTTTTCATCAGAGCCCGAATCGGCCATTGCAACTAGCTAGCACTTCAATCAAGGGCAATACAAAACGATAAATCTCATACTTGATCACCCGATTCAACTTAACTTCAGCATTAGGGAAACCTTTGCGCTTTATATGCATAAAAAAATTCATGTGATCAATGCAGCTATACAGATAAGATACATGTGGTCTGCTAAGAGAGTGGAATATTGTGTGTTCCATCACTATGAATTATTTTGGTCATCTTATGAAGTCACTTTCTTAATAGCATTCCATGAGTATCTGTCTTTTGACCGTACGAATATTTTAGCAGACTATATTAATTAAAACCCGCTTGTTCTTTCCTCTTTCTTTCTTTCATTTTTTATTTACCTAGTGCTAATAATTGACGTTAAGACGACTTTCATGGCTTTTGTATGTCTTGTTCATGTTATGCTTTCTTTTATGTAGGGTGTTATCACAACGTTATGTTTTAATTAGTTTATATTTAAATATTAATATGATGGAAAAATATTTAAAACCATTAATTAAAATCTTCGATACATTTAATGATAACTATATGTGATAAATGTAAATTTAAATTTATAAGAAATGGGGTATAAAAGGATCAGATTATTAGAAGACTCACTCAAAAAGTTGAATACAATATTGTCTTTATCTCTCATACTAATCCGATATAGGAATATTCGTCGAAACTCCAGTCCCCACACCTCCCCTCCAGTCACCAAAACTCACATGAAAGTTGTATTCATTAGGGACCTGTGTGGTACAAGGAAAATAGAGAAGGGAAAAAAGAGAGAATTTTAATGGGCTCAACAGAGTTAAAAGCTTTTAATTAAATTTTTTTTTATATCTTACATCTTCTCTTTATCAAAATTTCATAGCTCTGTGTTTTTAATTTTTAAATTCAACTTATTAAAATTTTTCTCAACTCCAATTTTCTTGTACCAAAAATATTGGGCACTAGACGACTCGACCCGCCCTTGGGGCCAGTGACCTGAAATTTGCAGTTACCGAGTCAATGTTTAGACACTTATCTGCCAACTCTCAGTAAATAGAACGCATGTGCCTCAATTTGTTTTGATTGGATGTAAGTGTTGTTTCTTTCTTTCTTTCTTTTCATCGTCAAGTGAAAATTACTTGGCTAATTAATGACCATTAGATCACAATTTTTAAATCTTGACCAACAAAATCCTTGTCCTTAGTTTCTATTGCCTAGGAGCGTGCTTCTTGGCCATGATTTACCTGTCATTTTCCCTTTGATATTGGTTTCATATTATTTTGAACACGTTCTAGAGCCTATGAAATGCACAAGAAAAATCTATTACTCTCTCCGTCCACCTTTTACAGCCTTTCACTAAATCACGTTAAATGAAAAAGTTCGTTAAAATTAATTAAAAATAATAAATATGTAAAAATTAAAATTTTTTCCTATAAAATAACATTATTTATAAAGGAGAGAGCATAAAAAATAGAATAAAAATTAATATAATAAAAAATTATAAAAGAGAGAATGTGTGATGGAGAGAGATTATATTAAGATATAATCTTCAAAACATTTATTATCTAGAAAATATATTTGGGAAAATAAAAATAAATGTAAATAAGTCTTTAATGAAGGCA